AAAGCACTTGATGTTGTTCTAGACACTGAGGAGATGGCTGTGAACAGAAGAGAGAAAGCCCTACATTCATGAACTCACATGGGGGTAAGCAAGGGGTCTAGTCAACAAATAGGTGGATGCTTCCATTTGTAGTTGGGGCTGAAGACAATGAAATAAAATGAGGAGAGGTAACTGAGACTAGCGTACTTTAGTTCTGGAGGCCTCTAAAAAGTGGTCAAGGATCTTGCCACCAGGGACATTAGAATAGACACTCTCATTGCATATTTTAATCTGTCCTCTCTAGGATTTACAGTAAATCTAAAAGATTTATACAAATGGTGAATGAAATTGTGTGTTTTGCTCAGTTCACTATAAGTGTGAATCCCAGACTTTACCCCTATTCAGCCTTTCTCAGCCACACCAACAAAGAGGACTTTAGTACCTCGGTTAACAAGTGGATATTTCAGACACATGTTTGTGTTAGTAAACATGTTCCTGACAGCCCAAAGTGGCATTGCCACAACAACCTCTACCTGTAGAAAAATCTGTATTTGTGTAATTACATGAAAAATTGGCATCTGCTCTTATTATGATTTTTAAATTGCTGGATATTTAAACATTGAAGTGCTGAAACCACAGTATATTTCACAAACCTAGTACAATTGAGACAAAATGAAAATCCTTCAATAATGAAAGAAACGGTCTTGACTTCCTTGGCTCAGGCTTCCTCACTCAGTTGTGCAGGGAATGGACACTAAGTATAGTTTTCAGACAGTGTCAGAGGATGAGTGTCATCCTGTATCTCATAATAGGATTTCAAACTTGCTGGAGACTGTGTTCTCCTTAGAACAAGTTAAGTTCTTACATTTTCATGCTTCTAACTTTTAAACATATCTTTAGGCTTGCACTTTTTATAAAGTCAGGATTATCTAATTTACTGTTCTATAACAGGTAAGAAGCTGGATTAAATTTTATTACATTTAATGCAGGAGTAGTATATAAAATAGTTACCTTCTCTGTACTTATATTTCCTGCTTGTCATATATAATGAGAATATTACTACATATATAATACATATATGACCATAATATCCTCCTGCTTATGATCCATGTATATCTATATTTTTATCTCTATCTTGATATCTATCAAAATTTGTCTACCCTATTGTTTACTTGTAAAAGAAGAACCTCTTTTTCCTGAGTAGGCCTTGGTGAGTTGAATATATTTTGTTCTTTTAAGGCAAGAGTAATGCCAAAGTCATAATAGGGTGTAGAGTTCAAGCTGCCGGGATCTGAAAGTGGCACCTGCCTTCCGGTGGCATTGTGAACATGGTCAACCTAATTACTCTTTCTGAGTCTTTTTACTCAACTGCAAAAAGAAATAATGATAATACTTCTGTAATGTGGTTGTTGTGAGATTAAATGTATGTGTGTTAATGTGCTTGGTACAGATCTAGGCACTGAGCAAGCACTGAGTCATGTTATATAAGGTACAAATAGGACTGGCTGCTGTCCTGGACAGCAAAAGGATGAATCAGCACCCATCTCTACAATGCTATCCAACCTTTTACTCCTCATTTCTCTCAGTGTGTGTGTGTGTGTGTGTGTGTGTGTGTGTCTTTCTCTCTCTCTCTTTCTGTCTGTCTCTCTCTACCTCTGTTGATGTTCCTTTTGCTTGGTTTTACTTTCCACATTCATCATCCTCAAAGTATGGCTTATTTGTAAAGAAAGTACATATATAGATTTCTCCACCATTTGGCCACATCTTTCTCTGTTTTTCTCTCAGAAACACACCTTGCAGCCTCTAAGCACTACTGTCTCTCAATCAAAAATCAACAAACATCAACAAAGGATCTACTGGTCTATTAAAAAATAGTACTGCAGAGATCCTCATCCTATCGTATCTGATTCTAGTTATTAGCTTCGTAAATGTCTTAGAAACAGGAATGGAGTTTTCAGAGTACAGAGGACTGTAGAAGTGAAATTATGTGTTGGTTGGGACCCACAAAAAATTCTTAGGCAAAAATATCAGAATGTGTGTGAGTGTTGAAGTTTACACAAATGGAACCCAGGTGTCTCTATGGTCTATCTATGTTATGTCATTTCCAGTTTCTCAAGCCTTCCACTCCGGATGAGGGCTTTGTGGCTCAGTAAGGGCTCTGGCATGCTGCAGAGTTTTCTGGGTCTCTCTTTTTGTTCCCATATGTTCTCTTTTCTTATATTTCTGTCCCAGTTGCCCAACAGACCCCATTCTTTCTTCCATTTGTTACCTGGGAACTTAGTTTTTGTAGCATGTGCAGGCTTTTGTGTCACACTCTCCATACTGACAGGATTTTCTATGTATTTCATCCAAAGGAAACAGAGTAGTGAAAGCATGTCTATATGTTATTCCTGAGGTAAATGGAAAGTGTTTCAATTTATGGCAGTAGTATACTAAAATAAAGAGATGTGCACAAGTCCTGTATTGTGGGAAATAACAGGAGTTGGTGAGATGAAGTGAATGATCTAACCAATTATTCTAGCTTTCTAATTTCCTTTCAACAATTTCTATGAAACACTCTACATAATACTACAATAAATTGAGATTGCTGCATTAAGTACCTTCAAACTATTTCAGTTTGTTTATGTGGTTTGGTGGTGTTGGTGTTGGTGTTGGTGGTGGTGGTGGTGGTGGTGGTGGTGTGTGTGTATATCTTAGGTATAGTTTGGGGGAAATGAAAAATAAAAGATAAATAAATAATAAATAACAAATAATAAGAAATAATAATCTCAATTATTGACTGTCCAAATGAAAGGTACCAAATCATGTAGGAAAATTTAAAATTCTAACATTTCATTTGAGGTCATTTTCTCTTCATAAAAATTTACAATTTTAGCAGAACTTTGTTCTCATTTTGCCTTTATAGGCATCTTGTGCAGAAGCTGGGTTGTCAAGCTGCCATAAAACATGCCAGAATTTAAAAGTGCAAGGCTGGAACTTCAGTTGGCTGGGAAATAAGATGTTGCAGAAAAATATACCCAAGAGCTATGTGTTTATTTTGGGTTATAGAATGCAGTGTATTCCTTAGTTCCAAGGCAATTGAAGTGTCATGACATTTGGAGAGGAAAAAAAATCCCTCAATTTTCCCATTGGTATAGGTCATATGGTGTATATCTGTATGGCACATACAAGCTATTTGTATAGAAAAAAGTTCACCTTGAACTGTTTGTCAAGGATGTTGGTATTCTTCCTCACTGCTTCTCTTAGCAATTGAAAAGTAAAACTTTCCTAAACCTGCTGCTAAACCAGGTGCTTGTAGAAGGGCATACATTTCCCCATTATTCCCTTAGAACCTGCATTTAGGTTAAATGATATAAGTCATTCAGAACTGGCATGTGGTGGTGTTTGACAGTGTTTTAGTTAGTGTGAATAGAAATAATGCTTGCTCACATTGCCCTAGGTATTAGTAATGTTTTTAAGAGGTCTTGTGTGTGTGTGTGTGTGTGTGTGTGTGTGTGAATATTCACGATGATAGCTTGCCAGAGAAAGCTAAATACCGGGCTTCAAGAAAGGTAGAATCTGAAGAGCAGCTGGGGGATTCAAGATGACTCTTGATCTGTCAGGAAAAAAATACCTCTTCCTTCTTATGACCTACTCCTGATGGTGCATAGCCAGAACTTCCAGTTGCTCAGTAACTGCATAAGCCTTAGTAATACTGCTCCCTGGAGATGTGGAGTACTAGATCGTGACTATTGCTGTCTCCTCAACTTTGAACTCTGCAATTTCTGTACCACTGTTATAGTTTAGCATACTTTGCTCATAAGCCACTAAGTCGTGACTTTGCAGGCTCCCTTCCACTCTTACCTTTGTGGTTTAATTTATTTCCATAAAAGACATCCCTTTAGCTCTGTTCTGCCTTCTAACGAGGCCCCTGGTTATCCGACCTTGGTTCAGGTCCCACCCAGTCCAGTCAGTTTCTGCAGTGGTGGGGAAGGGTTGAGGTTCTGGAGAAATTTAGTGTAAAATGTGGTGGCCTAAGTGTTGTGTTTTCTCTAGTGTCTTTGAATAGGTTGGTTTCCCTAAGAGGAGGCTGTCGACATGGTAGAGAATGGACTTATTTCTAGGTGTGTTATTTCCCATTGTGCAGTTGGTTTAACCAGAGCCTGGTGGAGGCTTAACTGTCTTGAGGCCATGATATAAATTCTTTCTTTGGTTTTAATTGTCACCAAGGAAAGCTAACCCACTGAATTTTCTTTCGTAATCAATAACAGAGAAATAAAATAAATGATAAGATAGATGTCAACATGATGAGAAACTCTACTGAGTATTTACAATCCCTCTCAACACACAACTATAATGAAATAAGAAAAAAAAAAAACGCTTTGTTAAAAGTTTCAAAGTACAGTCTATGAACATGTAACACTCCACATGGAAAATCAAAGAATTAAATCTTAATCAGTGTGTTCCTCACATAAGGTCTCTCAGTACTAGAAAGGTTAGAGAGCTGATAGACCAGGAGACAAAACAAAAATTGAAGGTAAGAACTTCTTTGGAAACCATTAATTATCAAACATCAGCAAGACTCAGTGACTGATTTCAATGGAATTTTAAGTCTTTACTACAATACCTTGTCTATAGTTAATAATGTATATTTGAAAATTACTGAGAGAATAGATTTTGAGTATCCTCGCCACAAAAAAGAAGTAATACCTCATTTTAACATTTCACAATGTATACACATTTTAAAACAGTGTTGTGTTAATACAACTATTAATAGATACAATTTTTATTTGCTAATTTAAAATATTAAACGAAAATAAAATGGTGGTTTTGTTGTTTTTCTTGATAAACTGATCTAGTTTATCTCTATTCAAGAGTTTGTTTTCATTCACATTTCTCTGTATATAGTGAAAGGTGTTCAGTCATGTGTACCCCGGAGAAGGGGGGCCATACATGGGGTAACACATGGTTATCAAGAAGCAGTTTTCCTGCTATATTACTCAGGCCATCTTTAATATCTCCTCTTGCTCTATGTATTTCAGAATCACCACAACAGCAGCGTGCATGATGGATCTCAGAAGATACCCACTGGATGAGCAGAACTGCACTTTGGAAATTGAAAGCTGTGTGTATCTGTGTCTGGGTTTCTTTTTCTTCCAGTTTGTGTTCTAGATCTCTTTTTCATTATTTAGCCTCTTTTCCAAGGCATTGATAATGTTCCAGGCATACTTTTTAACTACCTTAAAATATAGTTCTCCACTCTGCATATTTCACAGTCATAACACAGAGAGACAAACAGACACAGAGAGAGACAGAAGAGAGTTAGAGAGGAAAAGACCAATAAAAATAGCAAGATAGAAACAGAAAGAGAGGAAGAAGGAGGTGGGGGGAGTGCTTAGTACAGAGAGAGTTCTTTGTTCTAATCTGATTAAGAGACTCTGTTTGCTGTGTTGAAATATAAGAAAACAAATGTTCCTCATCTTGGTCGATTCAGTGAGAAGAGAGCAAACACTGAGATGCAATTTTCTTAAAATATGTTTCATCATGCATGAGTGGCTATACTGCTGCGACCCTGGGCAGTCAGAGTAAAACTCATTTCCCATTAGGATCTGAGCTTTACGAGCAGGCCATTTCTGCATCTTGGCAATTTTCTTCAATTTGAGGAGTATTCCGATGCTTTATTGGTAATTCAGTGCTGAGTACTTCCATGTCAGGGATGAGAGCCCCATCTGTAACATGTAACAAGCAGATGTCCCCCCTGCTACCTGAACCACACCTCCTGGCATATGGGGATGTTTTTGCTGTTGATCTTGCCCTATCACAGACTGGTTTATTTTTAGTCTCAATTGGATTGTCAATGCTTATACTGAATTTTGGTGATTAAGTGACTTTGACTTTGCAATGTCGCTTGATGAAAAGGAAATGTCCCTGCACAAACAGATGAAGAAGTTGCTTGTAGGGGAGGTTAGTCCAGGTTCTGGGTAGAGCCAGCCACACTGTGCCCCCTCACTTCCATACTCTGTCACTGTCATGGTTTCTGAAAGCTGTGCTTTCAGAGAAGATGAAAGACATAAAATCATGTCAAGTGATGCATAATTGAATTATCTAGGGACATTTACCATAGAGAACAGAAGGCTCAAGGGAAGGATGATGATTTCCCAACAGTTGAAGGATGAGCCTAGGAAGTTAAATGAATTCTCTGTGGCCAGAGGGCATGACTCCAATGAGACAGTGGAAATTTAAGGAAAGCAAATTTGGGGTCCAAGTAAGGAAGCAGTTTTCATTCCAACTGCCTGAACACACAGTGAGTGATTTCTGAGAGTATGGGTTCACAGTGCAAAGTGTGACTGTGGGGAACAGTAAGCAGGAAGATCTGCTGTAAAAAAAAAAAAAAAAAAAAAAAAAAAAAAATTCCCACAGTGTGTAAAAACCCTCCCTTGCAGAGAAGCCATGGTTAAAGCACTTGAGTGAAAGAGGGATTGTCCCAGTTTTCTGGTGGCTCACTATGCATGTCTTGGTATTGGGTGTGGAGAAAAAAAAAAAGAGATCTGGCTTTTTTTCCTAACATCAAGGCAAATTCATTGATCATGAATTTATTCAATGAATCCTTGGAGGACTTAACTCTGTACAAGTACTGTTTTTTTTCTTTTAATTTTTGTTTTATTTTTTGGTTTTTGGTACTAGGGATTGAACCCAGGAGCTTGTGCATGCTAATTGACCATGTGCCTCCCACCAAGCTGATCCATAGCCCCTATGCAGTCATTATTGTAAGCAAGGGAATATATAGAGAAGGCAGTCTAAATGCAAGTGCCTGTCTTCTTGGAACTTATATTCCAGAAAAGACAGAAATGATTAGACAAAAAGCAAAATGTGGTAGATGTTTTGAAAAAAATAAAATATGACAGAAGGGTTGTGAGTAATTCTGAGTTTCCTGGGGAAGTGGAATCTCAGGAAGGGATTCTACAGGAAGGCTTGAAGTTAAGACGCAAACAGGGAAGAATGAGCTGTGTGTTTTATTAAAGATTGTCAAGGCTGCCAGGTGAGAATGAGACACAAGGAAGTCAGAGGGAAGGAATTTACAGAGTCAGGACAGTAGATCTGACTTGGGAGATGGCATTAGCTATGGACACAGTCATCCTGTGGCTTTGGATCATTCATTTGATATCAAATATTGAATGTTTCATTTTTTTGTATATGTTCAAATACAAAATGTGTTATATTGAAATATTTTTCTTCAGATTTGTATTTTATTTGATCTTATTTAATGAGTTGACCTAATCTTCTAGGAAACAACTGGGTGTTAAAAATAACATTGGACTTTTGTTATTTACTCATTCTCAAAAGCATCAATTAATTACTGAATGAATGTAAGCTCTGGGCCAAGAGCTGAGTTTGGAATTATAATCCAGCAAATGATCATTTATCTTTCTGATGAGACCACCCATGCAGATCTCTAAGGGCCAGGAGGCTCCCAACAACAGGCATTTCTAAGATTGGCAAACCACGTGGCCAGAAAGAGCCAGCAAAATCATCCAAACATGTCACAGAGAACACTACTTTTGCTCTAAGAGTTCATCTAATCAAACAAAGATTGGTTAAATTTTCCATAGTCTCTCAACCTTCTAGTTGCACTTGAGATAAGGTTATCTCTCCAGGATTTTTCAGACTTGAATTTTCATCTTTTACTACCGTCTTATCTGCTACTGTTAAGAAGGGTTTTAAATTCACTTCTGTATGATACCCACACCAGTTCTAAAGTTAGACTTTGCCAAAAGATCATTGTTTAGAGTCCTCAGTCTCCCCACTTCCTCTACTTTTCAAGATCAGCCTGGTGCAAATCAAATAGCAGAAGTAACACAAGAGTACTTGAAAGTTAGTTCTTTGGTGACACTTCTTAGAGACAAGCACTTTAAAAAAATATTCAAAGATGGCAAAGCCATTACTTCCATTGTATTCAAGTTTCTTTAGCTGTACATTTATACAAAATGATATCTCATATGCACCATGTCCTTTCATCTCTCCCCTGATAGATGGCTACACCACAGATGACATTGAATTTTACTGGCGTGGCGGGGACAAGGCTGTCACTGGAGTGGAAAGGATTGAGCTCCCACAGTTCTCCATTGTGGAGCATCGTCTGGTCTCCAGGAATGTTGTCTTTGCCACAGGTGAGCCCTGTGTCTGCTCACAGTCCCTTTGGGACACTGACTGAGTTGCTGTGATAGTCTCCTTATGAGATGTGTGGCCACTGACTAATAATAGCACTTGGCATTCACAGAAGTACTATCATCAGTAATTTGCCATCACAACTCCTTGAATCCATATCTAAAGGGAATTGGTAAGCTTTAATGGATAGGAAGGATCACTTATGAGTGAGATGTTCTCTGGGCCTTGCTGTTGAACAGATACAGAAGGGAGGGTAATGTAACCAGCCAAGGTGTGATCAGAAATGCTCATGCTTGGGCAGATAAGAGGGCATTGGTGGAAGGGGGAAAACAAAAGACCAGGGAGATGGCTAACTGTCCTCCTAGCAATTAGCTATCTTTTTTCTGACCCAGGCTAATGGTCAGCCTTGATGGTCCAGGAACTAGGGCCATGTACAATTGGCCTTGCCTCTTTGGACATGATCTTCTTAGCCTGATATTATCTGGTTAAGGTTGTCCTAGGTGGACACAGTGCCACAGCCTGTAATCCCAGCTGCTCGGGAGGCTAAGGCAAGAGGATCACAAGTTCAAAGCCTGCCTCAGCAAGGGAGAGGCACTAAACAACTCAGTGAGACCTTGTCTCTAAATAAAATTCAAAACAGGGCTGCGGATGTGGCTCAGTGGTTGAGTGCCCCTGAGTTCAATCCTCAGTACAAAAATAATTAATTAATTAATTAAAATAAAAGATTGCCCTAGCTTATAATTCAATTTTTGTTGTTTTATTTTCAGCTGTGCAAAGATTGAGACATTGTCTTCTGATTTTCTCTCTGTTCTTGCTATTATTTTATTAATTTGTAACCATGTATTTTTTACAATGTGCAGTGCTTTTTTTTGGTAGGTTTATATTCTTACTGAATGCTGTGCATAGTAATTGAAAGAATAAATGAAAGTGCTTTGCAAACTATAAGGTATTTCCAGGTCTACAAACTCTGGTTGAAAATATTAAGTGAAGGCAAAGCTGTCCATATATCAAACAATAATAAGTGGGTAGAAATACCAGCCCTGTGATGGTACTCATGAAGCCAGGTGGTCTTCTACTTCTGCCCATTGCCTGTGGGTTGAATGCTCCTGACCCATAGCCACCTGCTGCCCCTTTGCCTACCTAAGACTGATTTATCTCATCTTAATGCCCCTATTGGGAGGAAGCCTTTTTGACCTGCTCCAGTCCCAAGAACTCCCCAGTTTGGGTTAAGTGTTGCTCTGTATCTCCAGAGTGCAACACCAACCCCATTCATCTCTGTGCACAGTTCACTATGCCTGTGACTGCAAGGGTGCATCTCTTCTAGAAGGAACCTGTCTTGGTCATAGTTTACTTCTTTCTTGCCCCCAACTTACTTAAAGCTGGACATTATAGCAATAGTCATTGAGTTAGCAAACAAGGGTCAAAATTATCATCCATATCCCTCTTTTCCACTCCTGCCTCTTAGAGCCAATAGACATGATAAGATGAGAGAAAAGCTTGGGTTTTTAAGAAACCAACCATGTCAGTAATCATGTCTGTTTTTCATGAAGGGTTGCTTTATCCTCTGTCAAAAGAACTCTTGCAAATATCCTTGCAGCCTCTGTAGGGGACCCTAAGGTGCTCACCTTGGGTGGGTGTTGAGAGCCAGCAGGAAACTCAGGCTTAGCATTAAGGAACTGAGTCCACAAACAAGAAAATTGCTCTATTGATGTATTAAATAAAATCATTTCTTCTAAAACTGGAATTTAAGCTCTTCCATGTGCCCAGAATTATGAGCAAAAGTTCTGCTCAGAATACAGGTGAGTATTCTGACAGAGGGATAAACCTGGCCATGCCTTGTTTGTCTAGAAAATTGTAGTTGTGGCCATGAGGGTGCTACCACTAGTGATCACTGACTGCATTTTCCTGCAGCCTCATCAGAAAACCTGATGAAGTGTTTGTGGAGGGTACATGGCTTCCACAGGACACTGCAGTCCCTTGGAATGACCTTGAATCCACAAGTGCAAAACTATTTGGGTCCTCTCTTGTAGGTTTAGTCTCTGTCATCTGTTGAAGCATATATGTACCACACATCCTAAACATGTCTGGAGAAAATATACACTACACATTAGAGAGAATCTTTAAACTATTTGTAGATCCAGGAGGTGATCAGAATGCAACATTATGTCTTTTTTTTCCAACACGTTCTGAAGTCCTGTGTTTGCCATAGGTAGCACAGGGTTCCATATGAATCATTTAGAAAACTGGATCTTCCAAAAGCTTATGCTTTAAAATTATTCTACATGAAGAAATGGCATGAGCCTCATTGTCCTAAAATATTTTAAAATTAAGTGTTATCCTAGTTTATTTTCTTTTCCACAAGTGTTCTGAATTAATGAGATTTATATCAGCAAATGGGATTGAAGGGTTTTCTAGCCTGGGAAAGAATTAGGAGAAAACAAAAGGCTCCAGGAGTTTACTGGACCAGGAAGGATGGACAGTCAAGATTTTACACGATTCCATCTACTTCTGCTTTCGTCATGATGTGAACACATGGCAGCTACACCCAAATTCCACACGATGGTCGGCAGAGGCTGTCAGAGCTGAGAGAGGCAAGGGAGGCAATGGGTTTGCAAAATTTCTGGGAATGCTTCTTCTCAGAGTCATTCAAGGAAGATTTGGTGCTTCATCCACCCTACTCATGTGTTGTTCCTTTGAGGACTTTGTAGGGGTCCCTTGCTGTGCTTTTCTGTGGGCACCACCTCTGATCCACCTTTTGGATAACATGGGGTTGCAGGATATAAGGCCGAGGACACACATATAGGTGACTATTCACTCAGGAACTGGCATGAACTAGTCTGGGATCAGGCCTTGAGAACGAAGAGGAGAACAGGTGTGTCTTGTCCCTGGCCCTTCATAGGTTCAGAAGATGACTTCTTGTCTTCTCTTACATAAGTAGGTAGTTGGCAGGAATTAAGTCACAGTGGGAGAAATCATTGAAGTATGTTCAAGAGACGATATGTAGACTTTAAAAACTTAGACCTTGAAGCCAAACTGTTAGAGCTTAAGTTTAGCAGTGTGATCCACAGCAGGCTTTTTCAATTTGTCTGTAAATAGGAATAGTGATATTGTCCATTGGATAGGATTTTTGAGAGGATTATGTGAGTTAGTGTAAATACAGGATCTAGAACAGCACCCGGCCCATACTAAGCTTTACAAACTATTGTGATTTTAAAAGTGCAGGACCATGAATGAGGCATATTTTGAGGAGTCTGAGAACAGATTACCCCAGGAGTTTACTAGAACTTTGTATATTAAGAAATTATGACATTATTCTCTGGAATTATTGGACATCAGGTGACTGACACCTAATTGATAATATATAAATAAATGACATGATAAACACAAATACTTAACTTACTCAAATATTATACATTAAAGAAAAAGTCATATAAAGCTACCCTGGGTAGAAAACACACTTTTGCTCAGGAAGACAGAGCTGTGTTCTATAATTGTGTTTTAAAGAAGTGAAAAAACTAGTTGAGTTAATTAATATAAAAGGAAATTATTTTGGTCCTTAAATATGATTCATTAAATATGTATTGTAAAAAGTGTTGGCACTCATTTAGAATTCCAAAGAAAACAAAAAAAGACTGCCTTACTTCTAACTTCTGACCAAAATGATGGCATGGTATTGTAATTTTATAGCCCCTTGTTTTAAATATTTGTTTACTAATGTCTTTGAGAGGCTGGTAGTTGAAAAAATACATCAGCTTAAAGCATAAGAAAAATATAAGAAAATGAGAGGCTGAGAGTGTAGCTAGTGTGTAAGAGTACTAGCCTAACATGTGGAAGGCAGGAAGAAAAAAAAAGAAGAAGGAAGGGAAAATAGAAGTGATGAGGATTTGATCAAATGTACATAATAAAGCTAGAAATTATTTTTCAAGGTTCCCGATGCATAGTGACCCCTGATACATTTTTTAACAAAGATTCCAAAAACTAGTCTTTCTAAGCTTTACATGGTAATTTTGCACATTTTTACATATTCACATTAGAAGAATTTTTACAAAATAAATGTCAATATGTAAATATTTTAGAAAAAGTGTAAAAAATATAGTAGTGAGATGGCAAACACTGTCTATAGCGCCCATCTACAGTACTAATATCCCTCCCTCCTTTGTGTTAATGAGTCACACAATCTGGGTGAGCTGTGCTATTATGCAGGTTTCTAAAACCTAACATTGGATTTGGAGGCTCCCAAATGTTAACCCAGGTCCTATAATTTCTTAATCCAACACCAAGAGTCATCTATGACAATAAATGAACCTTCTTTGTATACTCTGGAGATTAGGGCTCTATCTGAAGTGTGAGGGGTAAAAATTTGTTCCCAGGATGTAGGCTCCCTATTTACCTCTCTTATTGTTTCTCTTGCTGAGAAAAATTTTTTTAGTTTGAATGTGTCACATTTGTTGATTCTTTATTTTAACTCTTGTGCTATGGGTGTCCTATTAAGGAATTTGGAGCCCAACCTCACGAGATGGAAATTAGGGCCAACTTTTTCTTCTATTAGACTCACAGTTCCCGGTTTGATTCCTAGCTCCTTGATCCATTTTGAGTTAACTTTTGTGCATGGTTTACAGAAAGGGATTCAGTTTCATTTTGTTGCATATGGATTTCCAGTTCTCCCAGCACCATTTGTTGAAGATGCTATCCTTTCTCCATTGCATGCTTTTAGCCCCTTTGTCTAATATAAGGTAGTTGTAATTTTGTGGATTGGTCTCTGTGTCCTCTATTCTATAACATTGGTCTATCCGCCTGTTTTGGTACCAGTACCATGCTGTTTTTGTTACTATTGCTCTGTAGTATAGTTTAAAATCTGGTATTGCTATACTGCCTGTTTCACTCTTCCTGCTTAGAATTGCTTTTGCTATTCTGGGTCTTTTATTTTTCCAGATGAATTTCATGATTGCTTTTTCTATTTCTGCGAGGAATGCCATTGGGATTTTGATTGGCATTGCATTAA